GGGAAACTTCTGAGGCAGGAGGGCCAGGTAAGAAGAGGCTATTGCTCTTAGGCAATTAAGTCACAGTGAGGGGCATGCAGAACTCTTGTGGGGGCATGAAGAGAGGGATTGGAGAGGATTTAGGGGTGGAACCAGCAGCGTTTGGTGACAGGTTGTCTGTTGGGGAAAATAACATGGAGATGATGGAGGACACTGAGAATGGCACCCGGGTCTCTCAAGGAGGGTGGTGACAAGTTGTCTGTTGGGGAAAATAACATGGAGGTGATGGACACTGAGAATGGCACCCGGGTCTCTCAAGGAGGGACCTGCATTCACTGAAGCAGGTCAGCAAGAGGCAGAACAAATAATTGGAAAAGTCATGAACTCCATTTGAGACTTGTTTAGTTTAGGGGCCCAGTGGGACATGTAAGGAAAGCTGTTGGCTGGTATTGCAGCTCCACATCTGAAGCTTAAATAAACCAGGAGGGGTTGATGGACACACTGCAGTGGTGTCCGGATCGGGAGCACATGCAGAGCGGAGTGCCCCAGACCTAACCGATGATGGAACAGAAGGGCACCCTAAAGAGGAGACGGAGGAAAAGCAGCCTCCTGCCTCCCCTGCACCGTGGGCCTGGAGAACTGTTCTTTGTTCCTGCTTTCAGATCCTGGTACTTCCTGTCTCACGCAAAATCTCTTCCCTCGGGAGCTCATGCCTTTCAACCTGATCTCTTCTCACACTTTCAGTTTCCGAGTTCCTCTGGCACAATCATCATCTATTACAGTGGTTCCCAAACTTATTTGGCCTACCGCCCCCTTTCCAGAAAAAATATTACTCAGCGCCCCCTGGAAATTAATTTTTTAAAAAATTTTAATAGCAATTAAACAGAAAGATATATGTATTAATGTTTCTACCTTTTTTGTAAAATATGGTAAAGAAAGGGGTAAATTAGAAACATTGAAGTTTGAAATTATGAAACTATTTATTGAACTCAGAATAGAAAGGTAATACAAAAAAAGTTAAAACAAATGCACCTGTGGCCATCACCGCCCCCCTGGATCGCTGCAGCGCCCACCAGGGGGCGGTAGCGCCCACTTTGGGAATCACTGATCTAATAGGAAACCCGTGAGCTAGAGGCAGATCTAGTCCTCTTCTTGGGGAATCCTTTAGATAGATAGTCATGACTTTTTTCAACAAATCTTTATTGACTTCTTACCGTGTACATGGGGCAGGCTCTATAGCAGGCACTGGCTTTATTAGCAAACCAAAGGAGGACTGTGGTGCCCTCTACTTTCTAGTTTGGGGAAACGGACAATACTAGTAAATACCTGTCTGTTGGAGCAAGGTAAGAGGGGAGGGGGATGAATTGGGGAGGGACAGGGTTTCCTTTGAGGAAGTGACGGCACTGAGACCCAAATGAAGAGAGTGAGCCATGTGGGTTTAAGAGTGTATTTATAGATTGCTGTGTAACAACTTATCCCCAAATTTGCAGCGTAAAACAAATATATACAGTATTATCTCACAGTTCCTCGGGATTAGGAATCGGGGTGCTTAGAAAGAGCTTGTAGTCAAGTTGTTAGCCGTGGATCGTTTGGGACTGAAGAATCTGCTTTCTAGCTCACTCCTGCAGTTCTTGGCAGACCACTGAGCACTGTTAGACTGAGCCCCTCGGGTCTTTGCCTCCTGGCAGCTTGCTTCCCCTCCAGCAGTGGTCGGCAAACCGAGGCTCGCGAGCCACATGTGGCTCTTTGGCCCCTTGAGTGTGGCTCTTCCACAAAATACCACGTGCGGGCCAGTGCGATTGAAACTTCGTGGCCCATGCGCAGAAGTCGGTTTTCGGAAAGGAGATAGACGAAACAAGTATACAAGACGAGTGT